GAGGAGAGTAACATGCTACAGAGATCTATAACATGTTCATCTTGTTGACCTTTAAAATCTACATTTGATTCCATTATTGCTAGCTGAAGCAATAAAACACCTGTCAATCTACCAATGAATGGAAATCTGGAGGAAAAATATTACAAGTCAAAAAGTCCAAAGGATACCGAGGCTTTAATCATATTATTAATTAACTATGTGATTATCTTTAAATGGGAAAACCTATATGCACTACAAGCTAATAAAAAGTTCAAACTTTTTCTGAGGATCAATAAATTCAACCTAATATACCAGAACAAAACATAAGCAATATCAAATTAGTGACCTATACATTTCAGAGTTTATTACATTTCCATCTGTAAAATAGCTAGCAGTTTGACTGCAGTCAGTAATCATTTAAACAAAGCTGCATATAACATTTCAAAAAGAGCTCATTTTTTTCCTGTTATTCTAATAACAAAAACAACCACCACAGATAGTGAGATCTTTATTTAAAAGAAAGGCAACAGAGAAGTTGTAGCCAGCTTTAATTCAACCCCAGAATTAGAGATAAGAGCAATTATGCTCCAGATCCTTCCAATCCTTGGTCCTCTCTTGTGGAATTGGCAAAGTGAGACACCAATTCATCTACTGTCTATATCTGCAATTAGCCTTAACTGAGCTATCAATGGCTAACAACCTGCTGCACTGCTGTTAGCCCTGAAATGTAGACAAAGTAAATTACTATTTGCTCCACTACAATGAACAGCAATTAACATCTGAATCAATTTAGTGATCAACTGCATCATAAGAGCTTTGAAGTCTGAAATTATAGACACAAAACACCTATATCTAACAGCAATGACCTCGTAAGAACTATTAAGATTTAACTTGAAAGTTTTAGTGTAAAAAGTAAAACTAAAAGCTACTTTTAGTTTTAGTATAAAAATACCATACCTATTTGAAAATGTAAATACTGACCTGACTTTTATTAACATGATCATTAGGATGCACTGGGGTCTTGCTCCCCAGTTTCCCTCCCATTATCTCAATTGCTCTGTTGCTGATTACTTCATTTACATTCATGTTGGTCTGGGTTCCAGATCCAGTCTGCCATACCACCAAAGGGAAGTGATCATTTAATTTGCCCTCAGCTACCTACAGAAAAACAGAAGTTTCTGTTAATTCTTGTAACAGCAGCACTGACACATTGTAAGCTATTAGCTAAATAATACTTCATTACAGTTATTAAATCCAAAGTACCCCACAGATACTTCACTGATTTCAGTAGCTTTTCACCAGTGTAATTAAGATCAGTATAAAATTAGTTGCACTTACTGTTAGGACAGCAAGACAGAATACCGTTTTCTACTAGGTTTTAAGATTTGTCATTTCAGAATCTGAAAGTGCTATTCACTGAAATTCCTTATTTACAGTTGTAGAAACAGAGCCAAGGAAAATGTCTATTAAGTTATATCACTTATCACCCTGACTATGCAGGATCACTTTTTCCCCCCCTCACTTCTAAGAATGCCACAGGTTCCAATCCCCTTGGAGGGGATTAACAGAGTAAAGTACTGGTGTTTCCTTCTACAGGTGCCTACTCATGTTAGTAGGCAGGCAAGGTTCTTTGGGTAGATGTGATACCTTATTAGACCAACTAAGTAGTTGGAAAAAAAGTTCTTGGCAAGCTTTCAGACACAGTCATCCTTCTTCAGGCAGAGAGAGTCTCTGCTGGTCTGAGACTCCAAGGAATGAGAGAAGTTATTTAGCTGTTTAGAAGCTAAAATTTTAGCTTTTCTCTTTCCTTGGAGTCTCAAACCAGCAGAGACTCCCTGTCTGAAGAAGGGTGACTACACCCAAAAGCTTGCCAAGAACTCCACCCCCCTCACCACACTACTCAGTTGGTCTAATAAGAGATATCATATCTACCCAAATAACTTTACCTGCCTATGTCCTTAGACCAACACAGCTACAACCAAAAACCATGCTCAGGTGTTTCTCACCAGAATAAAATCTGATCTGCTACCACCTTTCAGAGTACTAGGTTTCAGGTGACGTTTAGCGTGGTCAAAACAAACCTTGTTTCTGAAATGCTTAAGTTGCTTTTGGAGACAGAACACGTTTCATGAATTACAGTGCCACCACATGGGCTTCTTATTTCAGAATGAGCACGTCCACAGGAAGTGCAATTTGAGTAAGAGGCATTTGGAAGTTCGTTCCTAACTGGAAACTGTTCCTGAAAACACCTGGCTAAGGAAGTCTGGAGGCTACCAGTCACACAGATTCAATGCAAGTGCCCCTTTGCTGTTTGTTTTTAACAAAACCTCAAGTCCCAACTACATCAAGTAGCATTAACTATCACCTACTGGCTCAAACACCTTGTTTCTGTCAAACAGGTGCTTTCCCCAGTCTTGTCCTGGAGCTACAAGGCTTATACCTAAATAGTAGCCTAGGAGGAGACCAGAGTTTTCCAAACAAATGCGTCGAGACCAAATGGAGACTTTAGGTAATGGTTTCCAATACCTATACAATGACATGGATTAGTTTATTGATACCCATGAAAACAATGCCCTTGACCAAGCAATCATCCAAGAAGGGTAATAAACTCCCAGCCTCTGTAGGTATGTGATCATGACAATCACCAGCTCAAAAGACAAGGCATAGAACTGGCAGGCTGTTCCAAGTGCCTAGCAGTTGGCCTGATAAAGGGGAACCAAATCACTTCCCTCCTTTTATAGCAGCATTTCTCAAAACAGAGTATGCAAGAAGCTCCATGGGAAGAAGTGAAAAGGGATATGAAACAAGGAAGAAACAGAATTAGTGCAGAACAACTCTGTAATCTCCAACAACCCAAGAGAAATTTTAATGTAGATCTAGTGACATAAGGGATAATTTTTACTAGCCATGCCTTTGAATGGTAAGGGTATACAGCAAAATAATAAACTTAAAAGGAAATATCACTGCTCTATAGTTTGGCCTCCTTTTGGCCCTGAGGATGACAACGAAGGTTACGGCTCAGGACCGGTATTCTTTTCCTAAAATTTGGAGGCATAGAAAATTCTTTGAGACGAATCATAATCCAAGACAAGATGCCACCTAGGGTGCAGATGGTAAAAAATCACAAATCACAAAGGTCAAGAGTTACAAGGCTTATCTGGCAAATGAGATTCCACCACCCAAAATCCCCCACCCAGTCAAGAAGCATAGCAAACAGACCAACATGGTTGACCGCATCCCCTGTCTTTAATTTCTATGTTGCCTGTCTGATGAGGATTTTATGTTGCCTATTTTACAGATGGCAAAGACAGCATTAATTCGATACAACTTTATTGTAGTAGTAGTGAGGAGAAAAAGTTACCTTTAAAAAGAGATATCAAAATGCGTTAAAGTATCCACTTGCTTCTATAAAACATAAGAAGCAAAACTAAGTAGAACATTTTAAAGTCATTAAACAAAATTTACCAGTCAGTTACTAGTGCTTTAGTGTAACAATTCAGGAAACTGAATACACCTCTCTCAAACAATCTGTTCCTACAGAAAGATATTTAGCAGACAGAATAGGAACTACAGTTCTAATGCTTTAAACAGCATCCTCCTACCTCATCTGCTGCTTTCATGATGGCATTAGCAATCTTTTCATCAAGACCATAATCCTGATTAACTTCAGCAGCTGCTCGCTTCAGGATCCCAAAAGCTCTTATAACTTGAACCTGAAACATGAAGATGCATTGAAAAGAGGTAAACTTTTTATACATAGGAAGAGTCTAGGCTCATCTAACTCCTTCTATGCCTAAATCCAAAAAGGACAGAGTTAGGTTGTCCAAAGTCATTATCCATACAATCTGTGATAATTAAATGTCTCTAAGATCTAATCAAGCAGGGCAGTAGGAAATTGCAAAGATGTACATACTAATTCTACGTACACCAAGACACACTATATATCACAACAAATTTCAAATAATACTTATACCAAAAGACCAGGAAAAAAATAAATCGGTTGCCTTTTTGGACAAAGGTCTTATTACATTTCACTTATACTGGATGCAAAAGGCAATGCATAGCAAAGTGGAGGTACTCAAATTCTATATTGTTTCAATCTGTCCAGCACAGAAAATAAACCAACCTTTCAGATTTATATAAGGCAATCCTTAGAATGCAAGGGGGATAACTCTTCAATACAGAAAACTGCCAAGTAAGAGTTCTTTTTACACCTTAAAATCTGCAAAATACAGCACAGCTGAAAAGCTAAAGCTAAAATATTCCATTCAAACAAGTTATTTAAAAAAGGATTTAGAATAACAGAGTAACTATTGAAAAGCTATGATTAACTTAAAATTTGTTGAGGAGATTCTTGGGCACAGGACAGAGCTGTGAGCGGCTCATCTGGGGGGGCACCTCCCGCCACTGCATGCACCCCAGGAGGACTTGTGCTCTCTGGATCTGTGCATGGGGTGAGGGCGGGCTGCCACTGCAGGCTGAGGCCAGGGGCAGCACCAGGCTCCTCCAGGCGTGGGGGGGCTGGGCCAGGGCTGTGCTTGGGGCAGGCACTGGTAGCACTGGGAAGGGAACTATGGGGGGGGGCTACAGCCACCCCAAAATTTGTCATAGCCCCCCGCCTCCCAGCACCGCTGCCACCCACCCCGAGTGCAACCCTGCCCAGCCCCCTCCTGCCAGGAAGAGCCTGGCACCACCCCACAGCAGCAGCCAGTCCTCACCCTGTACACAGATTGCAGGGGTGGGGGGCACCCCCCCCCCCATGCCCTCCCGGGGTGTGTGCAGCAGCAGGAACTGCCCACCCCACCTCCCTGGACAAGCTGCAGCTCTGTCCTGTGCCCTGCCCCAGCCCCACTCCTTCCCTCATCGCAAGGACCTCAATCTACTTCCACCATGCCCCTTTCCTCCGCCCTCAACAGACTTACCAGCCGGACACTGCTCTCCATGCTGCCAGGCCACATATTGGCAATCAGACTGGTATCGGCTGATATGGCTCATTAAAAATCAGCCATCGGTATCAGCCCCAAAATTCTCTATCAGTGCATCCCTAAAAATATATTCAAGCTACTTACCGGCATTCTCTCAGAAGCACCACCTATTTTAAAGTTCATTGTAGATCTCACAGTCTGTGCACCATAATACTTGTCATTTGGGACCTTCAGTTCCCCAAAGGTATCATATTCTATTCTAAAAGTGTCTTGACTGGCCTGTAGAAAATGAAGACAGACACCAAGGATTAGTAAACATTGGAGATCTTTTGAAGAAAAAAAGTATTTTGTACCTAATAAAAAAAAAAAAAAAATCGGGGAAACACTCGCAACAAATATTCAGATGCCAATAAAAAGCTTGTAATATTATTTTCCCAGTTTTTCAAATATCGAAGCACTCCACCCCTTACCAAGAGAGTAACAAGCCCTGTTACTGTTAATACATAACTCAGCCCCTGACCACTGATCAGATGATAGGAGGCAGTATACTAGAAAGGGCATCTGCAGACTGCACAATTTATTCTTATGAAGCATTCAGTTTCTTTCAGCCAGGAACCCACATCTTTCTAGTCAGTGAATTCCCAGTTCATCTTCCAAAAGCATAATCACTGTTTTACTGACTTCAGCTTAAAAAAAAAAAGATGAAAGTACAAAATACTTTATATACCTGCATACATAAAGCTAAGACATTACATTTACCATTTTAAGAATATCACGTACTCTACTTATATGCATACTGATAAGCACATTGTTCACTTAACTGCATAATACAGGGGTGCTCAACCTCCAGCCTGCGAGCCAAATACAGCCTGCAGAGCCACTGCATCTAGCCCAAGGGGCTCCCCATGGGTCAGGAAGTTTGGGTTTGGTGGCAGGGGAGCGACAGCCATTAATATGGCCACCCTCCCCGCTGCCAAATTCCCAAACCCCAAGCTCCCTGGGCCTTTTCAGAGCCAGGCTGTGTCCTCTCTTCCCTGCAGGGCCAGCCCCCACCCCCTTCTCCCCTGCAAGACTATGCTACATCCCCTTTTCCCCAGCAGGGCCAAGACTGGGGCTAAGCCATTCCCCTTCCTCCACACCCCCCACCCCACAGGGCCAGGCTATACCCCCCTTTTCCCCATGAAGGCCAGGTGAAGCCCCCTTCCTCCCCTGCAAGTCCAGGCTCAGGTTGTACTGCTCCCACCCTGTTCTGCATAGCCAGATGGTAGTTGCTGCACCAGCCCTGGGCACTGGATCAGAATCACCATCTGGCCCGCAGTCTGACCAAGCACTCACTGCCCATCTGGCACGCGGGGAAAAAAAGTTTGAGCACCACTGGTATAACAGAATGTCATTGCCAAATAATTAGCTACTGCTTATACCGTAACAATCAATTATCTGCATATCAGTTAAACCCATGAATCCTGAGTGCAAACGACTCTTAGGTATCACTGCCTACTTTGTAATGCAATTGTACTGCAGTTAACTGCACAGAAACGTTGAAGAGGAAGCAGCTGTCAAAAGTCTGTTAATAGAAGCCTTGAATTATGTTACTTAGTTTTCAAGGCTACTTCATTTTCAAGGTTCCTAACAGCAGCCCCCAAACTGGCCATTACAAACCTTGAAATTGACAGCAGCTAGTCACTTTGGGGGCTGCTAACACCAATGCACTGGCAGCATGGAGACCTTAATAATCGCTATTTACCAGTTTAGCTAAGTGCATACTCCAGGTAAGCATAAAGCCCTTTTTTTTCTTTCCAGGGGCTATATACTTAAATGGAACACAACATAAGAAAATGTGTTTGACTTTTTTAAAATGCTATTCTATTTTCTTAAACCAAGAGTTCTAGATTTTTGCATTTCTTTTTGTCTCAGACCAACATGGCTACCAAATACATGCCTGATTTTATTTTCTTGATACAGCCAGAAACGCATATATTTTAGCTGAACTACATGTGAAAGATGTTTTAAAAAAAATCCATCAAGGTAATTTTGGAACATAAATGAAGACACACAACCCACAAGAAGTCAACAGAATTGCACAGAAAACAACTTAAACACACACGCACACCATTCCCTTACTGTATGTGAAAGCTAGTTTTTACTTAGATTTTCTCTCATTCTAGTCACCAAGATTACTCACATATACATTTGTTCTGCTGAACATATTTAGAGTTATAACCTATTCCATTAAATGGGAATCTAAAGCTATGGACAAACAATAACTTTATATTTTTTTTAAAAGAAGGCAAGTTGAACAGGCTTGCTGCTCCAGGAGTATGCATCAGCTGTTCCAATTAAACTTTTATGGATGTCCACTCCCATACTAACATAAACTGGAATAAAACAGGATCAAAGTGGTAGAGGTTTCCCTTAAATTGTTCCCATATAGAAGCAGACAAATGTTACAATTAAAATGGAACATTTTATACTGGTATACAGTAATTTCATGGCAGAGTAACTTATGTCTGCACAAAATTTAATCATTATCCCATTTCACTTTGCTCATGCACCTGAAAAAAACATGTGCACCTTGATCTTATCTTTGGGACTAAGCCACAAAAATGGCAAGGCAGGAAACTCACCTACCTTTTGTATTCATGAATTTACAGAGATTTAAACACCTAATCTGTTGCTCAAATAGATTCTGGCTCTTAGCCTTTTATTACCATTAAAACGGCTTTACTTAAACTGTCATTAGGTTCATGTTCTGTAAATATGCACATACATGGCACCCAAGTTTGGTAATGATATCAGCTCTGACATGTTTCTGGCTAATATGAGATTCCTTGTATTCCCAGATGTGATATTTCAGTAACTAAGCAGATATATTTCAAATTTCTCCCCAAAAGATTAGTTAACCCACAGCATTCAATTTTAAGAATAAATCTATAACCAAATGGACCTGGACAAAAAGGGATAGAGACAATAAATGTAACTAGCTGTAATTTTTTTAGATTTAAAGAGTTCCACTCCTGCAGATTTAATTAAATCGCAATGCTCCAGTGTAAACAGTGATGAAATAAAGACAAATAATGACAAGACCAACCACAGTTAATAGGTCACTGACCCAGCAACCATATTAAATACCATAAAACCTGTTTATCACATTATACAAACCCTTTCAAATAACCAAAAGGGCAAGATTCCTTAACTTAATCATCACCCAGTGTTTAAATCCATACAAACTAAAGATTTGCTCTCCTCTGTTTCAAAAAGTAGACTGATTAGTTATGGGAGTAACTATCCATATATGAATGCAATTACCCTAGATCTACCAGTAGTCAATAAAAATGTGTCAGTGGAAGGCAAAAATGAACTCAGTCATGAATATCTGTACACAGAAATGGGGTACAATTCCTTTGTGCCATCTATAAGAGATATTATTCCTTTAAGAATTAAATTTAAATCATCTTAATGCTTGCATACTGTGTCAGCAACGCTACCTAAAGTAACGCACATGTTAAAGACCAACAACTGATAACCCCCATAGCAGTGCATTCCACGATTATTTTTAAAAGTTCCTTTATTGTTACCCCTTCCTAAAATTACCTTCCTACATGCTAGTTACACCTAGATGTACTGATTTCATTAGCCACTATGGCTTTTATAGTGCCCCAGTGACCTATAGAACTTCCCCACCTTCTGAGCAGGTGCATGATAGACGCATGACTGCAGCAACTTGTACCCTATGTTGTCTGGACTATGAAGAAGCCGAATAAATAGCCATTAAAGTCTGCTGTAATTAGCACAGTTCCCAGACTGAACTTGCTATGCCATATCCCCTGCTAGGTAGAGCTTAGAATTGGTACTGCCAGGCCTAAAAGTAAAACCCAGATTGACTTTGTCTTCTAGCCAATAAAAAGTGCACAGCTCAAGTAATTTAGGCAAATATAACTGTACTTTTACCTCTTATCTGGTAACTAAATATTTTGATGTTGCTACAGATTGAGCCATAATGCAATGGAGTAATGTAAAGGGCTGGACATTTGCTACAATGCCCACTGTGGAAACTTACATGATAGTTTAAAATAATAACAGGTTTAATACGAGTCTAACCCTCCTATCCCTAATCCAATGACAATTAAAGACTATCACAATTTTTTAAATAAAACTATCTTTGTACTCTCAAATACTCCATTTTGATGCACAGGAAGGGCTTTCACTTTTAAAAAGTAAAATAGCAGTAACGTGATAGTATGAAACTCAATTAGTAGAACAAGTCTCCTAAGAGTGCAGTCATCAAAAAATTCAATCTGAAGTGGTTTAATTCTATTTAGATATTCATTCACTGATTTTCTATTTTGTCCCTTAAAAATATTTTCCAAAGTGCAGTGATATGGATTTTGTAGCATATCCTTCTACTATAGAAGTTAGGTCTTTACATAGAGAAATGGTAAATGCACTTTTTTTTCTACTCTCCTTAATTATAAGTAGCATTTTGGAAATTCACAACTAATTTCAAAGGTCACTACTTCCATCCACTCCTCTGAAACCTCTTCCCATGCTCTGAAAATTCAATCCACTGCTGATACTTTGATATAATATGCTTGTTTGAAAATTTAAGGCACCTTCTGCTTTTTGCTTTGCTTCACATCTTTTTTTATTTTGAAGTCAAAAAGCAACAACTGTATGTTGTTTACAGAATATTAAGTGCTCTTTGTCTAATCCCTTCAGTCTTCTTTCAAAAGCAAGCATCCTTTGTTATAAGACTTGTTTAGGGACTGAAAGAGGGCATAGGTCAGGGGTGGGCAAAATGCGGCCAGGGGCCAGATGAGGCTCCACCAGGCCATCCTATCCGGCCCGCGGGACCCCTAAAAAAATTAGAATATTAATATTTATCTGCCCTGGGCTACCTGTCATGCGCCCCTCGATGGCTTGCCAAAACTCAGTTAGTGGCCCTGTGCCCAAAATAGTTGCCTGCCCCTGGTGTACGTGGAGAGAGGAAGGAAAGGCCTTGACAAAATTAGCTCTATGAAAGGCTCAGGTGGAAGAAATATTAACTACAGAATTAAATCCCACATGTCTGTTTAATTGCTTCAAACCAAAGTTTATGCAGAGCTAGATTTACATAAATAGGTTTTCTTTCTTTTCCCCCCCTTCCTGTGTAACGAAACAGGAATGCAGATAACCTTACACACACAGGACTGGAAGGTGCCTCTCACGCCACTAAGTCCAGTCCTCTGCTCTTATACATTTATACAGTCCTGAAAATCACCTGCTCCAACCTCAGAGCTACAATTTTTAATTTTAAAATAATTACCGTATTTGCACGATAACATTATCTCTGTACATGGGTTGAAATAAAGTGTTCAAAAGGTACAATAAATCTCTTGGGTCAGAAGCAATATCTTGTATTCAACCAACTAAATAGTAGCCAAAAAAATTCCTTTGCAAGCTTTCAATGCAACATCAGAAAAACCCAATGTGCACTGATTAATTAGGGTCCTACAATTACCTCTTAGTATTTAAATGTACCTAATTAAGAACATAATGCATTGTGCATCTGTAGTATGCATCATAGGTTTGCCTGGCACAGACCACAGGAGAAACGAAGCGAGCTCTGTTTAGGCACTGTAAAAAAGGCTATGCTCTGGAGTACACATAACTTGAACTGTTCATGCATATCAGCAATCAGCAGATAACCAATGTGAGCAACGGGCGACAGAGCGGGACTGGCATCCCGTCGTGCAGGGAGGTGAACGATGCCCGGACACGCTAATCATGTCAGCGCTGCGGGTCCTGCCGCCCCCCCTGCGCCCCCGGGGACATCAGCACTCGGCCACCGCCGCAGCAAAGCGCAACCCGCCC